GAAAATTCAAAAGAGCACTTAGTTTTAAACCGGAACAGACTACTTCAAGTATTAATTGCTTTTCGTGGCTCATTGTGATTCAAGCCGAAGAGAGAGAGATGCAAATTGCTCTAAACTTTCCAACTGCTCCACTTTTCTAACGAGAATGTGAAAACTTTCATGAAAAACAACACCCGTAGAATAGAAAAAATACCTACCAGTTCGCAATAATTCTTTCTGTTTCTCTTTCCCCATAATACGCAGTAGGTTGTACAGTTTACATATTACATGTCTTAGTACAGTATTTTGTGATAGTTTCAAAAGTTAAACTATTTAAATTTGAATAAGAACATTAATTCCTAAATAAAAAAATTCTTTCAATTTGCGTTACCTTGTATATATACTTTTAGTATCAGTATCATTATCGCAAGAATAAACAAAATTTGAAATATCTACCTGAAAGATGACTTTTGATATAATCAAATCGTAATCAAACCAAAATCTCGAGGAAATATCTGTGGGCAATATTATAAAGCTCCAATTTATAACGCCGTCACTATTTTGTAGGCTTAACACCTTATTACCCAACCGCAAAACCAAAGGGAACAACCTAAAACACACTTTTTGCATCTTCGTATTTAAATAAGTACCTGTGAGGCCACAAAGCCCCCACGGTGTTTCAAGGAAACCACTTTTTCTCCCCAACGCTTTATCGTATTATTAAAATAAATATTTTAAATAACGAGCAGCGAGATTGAGGTTTCTAAAGGGGGCGCTTTGCGGCCGCATTCGTTTGTCGCGCACAGAAATTGTTTTTGTTTCACGCGGAATTAAATATCTACATAGTTTTTGTTATTGTGCCTACTTTTATATTTCACCAATTCGTTTTATAAGTTCGGTAGGTACATATAGATTGACTAGTACTTATAAAATATAGCATATGTTCTTCTCACCGTGGCATGCTGTGAGTGGTTCACTATATTGTTGTATATCAATTTGTTACTTTATATTTCATGGTTATTGGTTTAAACGTTTGTCTGTAGAGCGCCAGTAAACAACCTAGAACCCACGCTAAAAAAAGGATAATATTGTCACAGTTGTATGTTAAATCTATCTATAATTCTTCTTATTATTTTATTTTTTTTAGATTTCAATTTCAATTTCTTAATGCACCGCGCCATGTGTACCTATTTATGTATTTGTGCATTAAAGTTTTAATAAATAAAAAATAAATAAATTCGCATACGAGGCGATCTAGGATCCATGCTGCTCGCCAACACTACTCCGATATTACTCCTAATTTTAATAGTCAGCCGTTTCCATTGTGAAATGTTGTAAGTAGATATATTTATCCCCTTTCTATCTATGTATATATTTACTATGTATGTGTATGTATAATTTATATATATGTATGTATATGTTATATATTTGTCTCGCATGGATGAACATAATCGCTCCACGTAAAACGTTTCGCTTAGTCTCTAAATTTAAATAACAATTTTTCATCAAACATACAGACATTGAAAGCTATCTTCCGCTAATCCAAAACACCTCTATCTTGTAAAACGTATCAATAATCGTTTTCTAGAAAGAAATTACTTGTTAAAATATGAGACAGGCAAACTAGAGGCGTACCTATGCCTATTTAAATGTTACACATATCTAAATCCTATGTACACACCGTATATATAATTACTTTTCTAATTATTTACCTACTGTGACGTATTTTAAGAACTATTTATTAAAATCAAACAAAAAATACTTCCACATTAAATACATATTTACATCTTCTTTACATATAGTAAAATCAGTATGTGTTAATGTTCTACTTGAAAATAACTGGTTAAATATATTGTACGATGTTTTTTGTGACTGTAATATAAATATTGAATTAAAAAATACTTCTAACCATTATGCAGCTTGATAAAGATAATATAGACATGATGTGTATTGGCAAAATAAGATATTAATTACATTTAATGTTCAATATATACTCTATCTCCTCGTCTGGCTCCCCTTTTCCTGATATTACAGATAATTCCCATGCAACAGCGACGACGGGCTTATTATATGTGTGATAAACAATAACTGTGATCGTCACGCACATAAAGTGATATTTTAGTAGGTGTACTATCACATAACCGCTCGTTTTCACGACATTGTACTTATGTTTTGCTACTATGAGTAGGGAACGTTGGGTTATAACGGATCAGCCAATTTATTTTTTATGTAATTTGAATAGCAAACAAGGTAATAGATGATGGTAAGCTGTCATCGTCGCCTATATACATGAATAGCACGATTTTTTAGAGCACAGCCTGATGATACCAACAGGTAAGTGATTACCGCCGCCCATGAGCACCCGCAACACAGGGGAATTGCAAGTGCTTTGCCGGTCTTTTAATAAGAAATAAGCTCTTTGAAGGTTTCAGTATTGTATCAGTCCGGAAATACCATTGCTGGAAGGTGAAACTACAATGTGGCTGTGCGTGGCAAAAAGTTTCTAGAAAACCGCACTGTGCAGGACAGCCATTCATTCAGATGATCAGGGTGGTGTTTTAAAAAATTAGTCTGTTGCCGTTCATATTACCTAATCGCACTAACCTAATTACACTACAACTGAAATAGTGAGACTGGGTACCCAAACAGACTACTTTTAATAGTCTACTTCTGATAAATACCAATACCAATATTAATGTTGCAAATAAATAAAAGATTTTATCTGTGAAAAAGTTACTGGATTATTGTGAATTAATTAAGGGACAGATATATCTAACATGGTATAATATAATTATATTATTCTAGTAAATACCAACAGATTAAATAATTTTGAAGGATATGCCGGCTAATGGTAAATTACGATCACTGATCTTTGTAATCTTAAACCACAATAGGGCATAATTTACATGTTATAACTTAACCCTCAAAATATAAAAGCTTTGGTTATAAAAATGTATGAGGCGCTTATTTTTCTGCTTTGCATATTCTTTATAATTGAATAATGCCTTCTGGAGGTAAATATATAAATAAAATGCTACTAATCTGTTTTTGCTTCATAGGAAAAAAATGTGTTTATATATAACCAATTACAATATGTAAAGATGAAATTTCACCAAGTGACAATTTATATACCAAACAATAATAATTTTAAACTAATATCTTAAAAGAAATTAAGAGTCTTTGTTAAAATTTCAATACCTGCCCTAATATATATATTAATTTGGTACTTATAAAATGTCCATGTTACGCCGTTCGTCGATTCGTCATAACCCTCCGAAGCCGAAGCCGCACCCTTCCTATTCTCTTATCGTCTTATTAAAATAAATATTCGGAGGAACCGTAATATTTTGGCTCAATCTGAACTCCTTGCCTACGAATATTCCTGACGATAATAGGCTACAATGTACTTCAAATCAGTAGGTACTTTCTATATTTCGAATTGTACTTAAGAAATCATTCAATATTAACACTAGAACTCTTTCGATTTAATAGTCTAGTTCAGTGAAATTATGACTTCATAGTAGAGATGTCTATAAAATATTATTATTGAAATACTTTTATTTTTATTATGTTTAGTTATCTAACTTTAATTATTTGCAAACCGTCTACTATATCCAACTATGCACTTACTTTACACACTGATATTACTATTTGCTGGCTGTTATCATTACACTACCCTACTTTGTAAAATATTATTATTGAGTTCCAATAAAGAAGTATTATTATTATTATTTTTAAATATTATATTATTATTTTATACAAAAGTTTTCAAACGATGTAAATAATTTATTGAGTCCCTTTACAATTACTGGAGTTTACTTCTCTAGCGTATTCACTTTTCAATATTACGAAGTCAATTTCAATATTATTATGAAATATTTTTTTTTATGTGGAATACAATGTTAACTGTATCACCATAATCACTAACATTTCTATATGGTTCCTTACTATTAAATGTCTACTTAAGATAAATTCAGCATACAGTATGATAATTGCCACAATCTAATCATCAGGCGCTTGTAAGTCTACAAATTAATTCTAATACTATTAATCTATAAATATGCTTCTATAACATGCTTCAAATTTTTATTTTTTAAAGTGGCCTTTAAAATTTTATTTTATTCTATCAGATAGTCTAAAATTAGTTTACCAGTTTTAAGTTATCTGTGCCAGTACAGAAAATTCTGGTATGTAATAATATTTTTTTAGTAAGCTAAAGCTATAATATGAAAGCTAATAAAAGCTGTAATATGAAATATAAAGTTAATTATAGAATTATTCATTATTATAAATAAGTCTATTAAAAAAATAATTTCTACAATGCGTAGAAAAAGTATGCCTACTATATGATTATAAATTTCAAAACATTGAACACTGGGGGCGTAGCTCAGATGGTAGAGCGCTCGCTTAGCATGCGAGAGGTACCGGGATCGATACCCGGCGCCTCCAATCATTTTTGTTCTGTATTTTAGTTATATTATTTTCAATTTATCATACATAACCTAATTAATTCCTTCCTATCATTCCTTACATATTTATAATTATTTTTAACTTTTACATAACACACTTCACATCTTAATTATTTCTACTCTTTTTAATATAATATAAGAATACGTATATGTTATTACATATTTTTCTATTTCCTTTAGGAATCTGAATAATAAGTAAATCAAGTTCTTTTTGATATATGTATATTAAAAACACTTTATAAATTAACTGATTAAATCTATACCAATAATATAAAGAGGAAAAATTTTATTGTTCGTTAATTTGCATAAAATAAACTCGCAGATGACCGATTTGAAAATTTATTTTGTTATATGATCCTTCATCATAGATTATTTTTTGCATATAGTTTTTTTTTGCAGATGAGATATAAACATTTCTAAGTCAAGAAAACAAAAAATATCTTATCCAATCATTTTATACATAACTAATATGTAATTAGTAATAATGATATCATAGATTTTTATATAATTAATGAAACATAGTTATTATATTCATATTCGATATTCGAAATATTCGAACGTCTTTGTTTTATTTATAGCATTTTAAAATGCTGGTATCCCAGTAATAGCCCTTCCTAATATTAACGCATGAATATCATGAGTACCTTCATAAGTGTTAACCGCTTCCAAATTCATTACGTGCCTTATAATGTGATATTCATCTGATATGCCATTACCGCCAAGGATATCTCTGGCCGCTCTCGCGATTTCTAATGCCTTTCCGCAACTATTTCTTTTAATAATCGAGGTCATTTGAGGTGCCGCTTCATTTTGATCTATTAAACGTCCAACCCTCAAACAAGCCTGGTATCCTACATTTATCTCAATCAGCATGTCGGCTAACTTCTTCTGTATCAGCTGTTTCGATGCGAGCGGTTTTCCAAATTGTTTCCTATCTAATGTGTACTGTCGGGCAATGCGCAAACACGATTCGGCCGAGCCTAGAGCGCCCCAAGCGATCCCATACCGCGCGTTATTGAGACATCCAAACGGCCCCTTCAGACCTATTGCGTCAGGCAATAAACTATCCTCCGGTACAACCACTTCGTCGAGCAATATCATGCCCGTTTCCGATGCTCGCAAGGAAAATTTTCCATTGATTTTGGGCGTAGCCAAACCTTTTTTGACTTGCGATCGTTCGATAATAAAACCTCTTATTTTATCTTCATCGTCCTTTGCCCATACCACAAGTATATCTGCAATAGGTGCATTTGTGATCCATGTTTTAGAGCCCGACAGTGAATATGTTTTAGATTTTGAATCGTACTTAGCTTTAGTTATTAAACCACCGGCATCACTACCGAAGTTCGGTTCAGTTAGTCCAAAACAACCAATTAATTCACCCTTAGCCATAAGAGGTAAATATTTCTGTTTCTGTTCCTCACTTCCGAACAGGTTTATAGCTCCCATAGCTAAACTGCTCTGCACACTCAAAGCAGATCTGTATGCAGAATCAATACTGTCTACCTCCCGTGTGAGTAATCCGTAGGTAACATACGACACACCGGCACATCCATAACCCTTAATAGTGCAACCAAGTGCACCTAACTCCCCCATTTCTTTGAATATTTTTTTATCGAAGACTTCATTTCGATTTGCGTCGATTATTCTTGGAAGTAGTTTTTCCTGGCAATAAGCTTTGAATGAGTCTCGGATCGCCTTTTCGTCGTCATGTAATTGTCCATCTAAATTCAATGGATCTTCCCAATTGAAATTTACCTTTGCATTCCTTGAAATTGTGGTTGATATAGCCCTTAAATTATTATTCTTTCCTAAGAGGGAAATGAAGTATTTACCTGTCAGTGGCACAGACATATTGATTATAACTATTTACTTATTCAACTTGCACTACTATAACAATTAGAAATAGCTATTACTTGGTTCGCCACAATCTTCTTCGGATTATCAAATTTAAATGTCATTGATTAATCACTAGAACTTTAAAGGTCTGTTTATACAAGAAATAATAACAAATAATTTATTGAGATCACCTTACTTAAAGAATATACATATATTGACTGTCAACGAGCTGCAATCAACTGAGTTATATTCTCTCTGATGCAACAGTATTCAGTAACTACAATAATTGTTGCTAACTTCACTTTTATCTCAGACAATTATGTTATCACGTATTTGTTTATTCTTTTTGTGAATGTATATTATTATCTTAACGTTTCTACTACTGGCAGCTATTATTTCATATGTTCTTGCTCTTATTGCCTTCTAAATAAGTCTTAGAATTGATCGTGACATGTATTTTTATTAACTGTTCATAATAGCGAGTAAATATGATGAAAATAATATATTTGTCACTTTATATTTAATGATAACTTGTTAGTAGCTTGATAACAGTTTTGTTTGCATTGCTAAATCCACCAAGTACATACTGATATCGGATTGTAAACAATAATATTGAGATAAACAGTTGGTACCTATTTTAGTTAAAATTGAAAGGTCCATTTATATTTTGTAGTTCTAAGTATATTTTAGGTCTAGTGTGCATTAATAATTAAAAACGTAAAGCACAAGCGTGTAAATTTTTAAACACATGTAGTTTACTGATCATTTTATCATAATCGGTTTAAATATAAATTGTATTTCACGATCATGTCTTATTAAATTATACAATCATGTTAGATGCATTAATTAAGGTTAGAATTTATTTCTAGTACTTAATTTCATCCTATTTTATTCTATTCCGTCTAACCATTACCGTGACTGAATAATAAATAAGCTTTATTTATTTTTGGATATAAAATAGTCTATGTTGTTATTATTACTAAAAATACATTTTATTCCATTTACATTAATACTAATGTGTTATACAGGATAAAATACAACATTTAAAAAATTACAATAAATCTGGGACTATATTTTAATTGTTACTGAAAATATATTTCTTTTGTGTATAATATAGAATGATAGTTTTTTCTCCGAGATCTACTCATAAATTGTAATTGTGGATGGAGAAAGATAAGTATACAGACGTCGTTCATTAGTAAATTTGATTGAAAATGTAATTAATAATAAATATACCGAACCCCTCCCGACCTAATGTTATAAATACTAGGTAGGTATACATATCACATCAATACATATATACAAATGATAAACTACACATAAAGCTATTTCTTTAAGTAAGCATAAATATATTAAATTTATAACATGAACCCCCGGCAAAAATGTATAAAAGTTTAACTCACAGTAAAAATTCAACGAAACTTTTGTAGGACGGGCATAGTTAAAATAGCTTACGTGCTGCGGTAGTAGTTATTACATACTTACTCTCAAAGAGTAGAGGAACTTAGTCCAAGTTTAATATTTGCTAAGCGAGTACATAACTCAGTACAACGACAATTCAAGTTATGCAGATTATGAAGTAAGTGAAGCAAGATATTAAAATAAATACATAGATACTTAAGAGTATGGTTACTAAAATTTGTGCGTGGGATTTTTTGTAAAGTAAAATATTTCATATCTAAATTATACTATAGCTACAAATTTGCCATTTATGTTAAAAATAGAATAAATCTTCCTAATATAATAAAATGAAAAGATTATACAAATATACGTTTGAATATAAATTAATATAGAGATGGACAACATCATGTATATATGACGTAGATACAATTCATGGTAATTTTTCCTAAACAATATGCTTTATATATAAGAAAAGTTCTTGAAATATTGCGTTTTACTACATGACTTTTCACACTTATATATTAAAAATAAACACAACTTAACAAACAGCAGAGAAAAATATCTTCTTTTATTTTGAAAATAGAATACAATACTCATATTACAGGCGTAATTAAGCTACAGTGATTGTGTACTATCACACTAAATTGTATTTAAAAACACATAATATAATGAAAAACGAAAATATGAATGGTAGAATTGGTTATACTGTCATATAATCATCAGAATACCAATTATACTTCTCAAGTTATAGCAGCACAAGTAACGACAACTATGAGAAAAATAAAAAAACATTTAATTTTTTTATTTACCTGTTATATATTTTTCCGGTTCTTACTACAAAGCGCCTACAGAAATCTTGCGGGCATAGAATTTTACCTTCGTTAAAATTTTATACAAAGATCAGAGCAAAGCTTTGAAAAGATAAAAAATATCTCAAAGCCGTTTGAGTAAAGTAAATTAAAAAGCAAGATATCTAATACATAATTTATCGTCTTTTATAGTAATAGATATCTACAAAATTTATAAAAGTTGTATACATATGTCAGTTTATATTTTGAGTAGGTATTATTTGATATACCTACGTGTAATAGAATTTAACAGAGATACAAATTCGTATAATATACAAACTACTAAATAACACAGTAAATAATAATAAATATAAAAATATAGAACATAAAAATAATATAGATCCGTCTTATTCACCAGAGCCGACAGAACACACAAAAAAATAAGTTTATACAAAAAATATCAACATTTACTTTCTAATGTAAGTGTAGGGTAAATTGTTAAATTGGTTTATAAAATTATTGTACAGCTTGTGTTCCCCACATAAATAAATAACGTATCACATTACGACATTTCCCTGTTAAACTTTTCAAACAAAGTATTCCTGCCAACCTGACATACTTCGGGCCTAACAAACATAATGGTCCCCGATGTTTCTTTTAGAACGTCTGTCATTCCGAAAATACAAACTGTCTTTCAAACCCTTGCGAACCAAAAACGGCGCCGCGTGGGCATAGTGTATTATCTTATTAGATAATACAGATGAATTTCATCTTTTATTTATCTAAGTTGATTTTCCAGTCACCGAGGGGCGGTTAGCTCTTATCGCGCGATTTCCCCAACAATGTGTATCCTCGTAATACAGGAGGGATGAATCTCCTATAAATTATTCACTCTCTATTTGCATGACAAACGACAGGAGAGCGCGGAAGGTCTTAGACCTTTAATGGCACCTCTTCAGTCGTTGTTAACTGTCCTTTACCCACTCCATCCCTTCACACTTCATGGCAGTATATACTTTAATGGCCCAGTGATTTTTCCCAGTCATATGCAAATGCGAGATTAGCATACATTTTATTTCCGACAAAAACGTTGATGATATTAACAATGCGAATTTTTCTCTCGAAAGACTTAAAAGCCTTTGTGCCGCCTAAATTGGCCGGTAATGAAGGAAGGTAATGTGCAAAGACGTTTAATAGAGAAATTAACTGCGATGTTAAAATTTACGGGCACGCTTTAATTGTTTTATTCTGAAAAATACAGTTTACTCTATACGTAATCGTTAATATATACTTACTACAATATACTTAGATTAACTACTATTAGGTACAAATACATTTGCATGTAATTAGTAAATAGAAGATGAAATGTTAGGTACCTACTTAAGTTACTTTCGTTAACACCGGAATAGGTACAAAAATTTCGTTTTGATATTTTTGTAACTTTTTATAATATGCGAGAGATGGAAGTAAGCTTGTAATTACTGAAATATGTTGCAAACTGCGGGTAAGTCGAGTGGTGTTTTCACCACAACTTAACCTATTAACTGTTATACCATCTGTGCTGCAAAGGCTACAACAATGGAATGGCTCTAAGTAGGTTAGGTACCTCATCTAGAAACCTACATACATATAGCATACAATACTATAATTTCTAATAAAAATAGTTTATATCATAATTGTAGGTAGCTACCATTAAAAATAAATATTTAAATAATTATCATTGCTATACAGCATTAGCACATGTGTTTACTTCCCATTTAGCAATCATTGTATAAGCACATAAAATCGATAGCCAAGCGTGTGTGAGTAAAGGCAAACTTTCCCATTTGCTGCTTAAATTTTAAGACCAAAACTTTCACACAGCATCGTCAACTGTTATATAAATCAGAGGTGTGTGATGTACCTAAATTAAACTAGAGGCAAAGTAATGGAATAGGCATGTAATCAAGCGAACGATATTATTAAGATGCAGGAAAACTTCCGCTTGATTTAAACATCATGCCCATCAGTATGATTTATTGAATAAACATAAAATAACATTATAAATACTAAATGTTTAAATACAAAACTACTTTCAAGAAACACTGGTTTCAAGTATAATAATTTAAAAAGTATCATTTTTCTTGGGTTTTTGCTATATTTAGGTATCAGTTTATATATATTTATGTCAATTACCAACATAACCAATATGGCTACCTTATCTTCAACTTAAAGACAAATTACCAATATATATATATAATGAAAAGGGAACTAATGAAAATTTAATTTAAGTTGTATTTATTAAATCTTTGTAATCCATCGACGTGTTTCAGTTATTAATTATCAAAAAGTTTTCATTCCAAAAAGGACAATAGCTCCTTAGTTACTTGTAATTTTCAACAGAAGTTCAAACTCTGAACGAAATTAATGTTTAAACAAATCTCCATTGAACCCATTACTTTGGGCTTTATAGAATGTAATATAGAAATAAATTATAAGTACTTTTTATTAGTGATTATAAACAAACAAGAAACTTAATAAATAATAAACTTATTAACGTATACAGATGCTTCATTATAATAATGTAATATTAAATTATAAGTAGAGCGGGGGTCTAGACTATGTTCCCCTCCGATCGATCCCCCGTCCAATTCAAACGGGGATCGATATTACGACGGCCTGAGCCGAGGTTCGAACCCCTAGTGGTGCCCTCAGACTAAAGTCGTCAGGCAGGAGTTGGCCTTCAGCCGCTCCATAAGTCCTTTCACGGGTTTGGAGTGCCACCTGTACTCGCCCCCTACCGTCCGGTGAAGCTGTAAAGGCCAACAGCATTAGAGTAGTCCGAAAAAAAAACTATGTATTTCTAATAGTTATATTGCAAACTAAAGGAATAAAGTAAATACACATGTGATAATTATAGACCAATACCAAGTTTAATAAATATTTTTTTGTATTCAGAAAGCTATGCCCACTAAATGGAATAATAATGATTGATTAAAATATCTATATATTTGAGCTTCTTTATATGTATTGTGTGAGCGTCTCCACATAAAGTGATATTCGTAATGCTAGTCATGTACATATATAGGCGCCGATTGGCATTTGCCACCAAGTGAAGCGTCAACTACTTTGCTATTCCAATTACATAAAAAAAACTAAATGCCTTATAAACTTACTCTAACTATTGAACTGCTTTGTCCTTTTATTATAAGCTATTGCGTTCCTTTGAAAGATAGTGACGAAGCAATATAATAGTTAAAATGTATTTTAGTTTTTATCAGCATGACAATAAATCTTTTCTTGAGATACACAAGCGTATACATGTTCAAAGATCTTTTTATCACTTACACAGGAGGTGTAAGTGATAAAAAGATCTCATTATCTTCTTCAAATAATACACTTTGCTTTTTATTCAGAAACAGTTAAACACACACACATATTTACATAATTTTTCCTAAAATTTCCCATTCAATCCCATGACATTATGACAACCGAGTAGAACTTTTTACAAACAAACAAAAAGCCTGCATACCATTTGCCGGGGTAAAGTAGACGACACGGATGTTTTGTGTGACGCAAAACAGTACACGGCAACGTTATCGTACACGCAATGGATAAATGGAGATAAAATTTAATACAAATAATGTCTCCACGAAATTCACTATTCACCATTTAAAAAATAGGTATTAAGAAAGTAATAAATTTTGTCTAGCGGTTCACCACACCGCTTTATTATCCAAAAATTTGTATTCATGTGTATGATTATTTGTATCGGTCTGTATTTTCTGTGTATACTATATTTAGAAAAAGAGTATCTAAGTATTTATATCATTTGTCTAGTACCCATAACACAAACTCTGATTAGCGTGGGACTAGTTAGACGTGTATTAATTGTCCAGAGTCATTTATTATTATAATAATAAATATAATCACTCTTATTACATTAAAAGAATATCACAAGAGTTACTGCATAGCCACTGTTAGGTATATTACAATTATCTTATTTGAAATTACCATTTCACTCTTATATTTCAGTGGTCGTTATTTAATCATAACATGTTCTTCGTTTTTATAAAAATACAACACAATAATTTTGGAGTGACACAGTTTTTAGCGATTTTAATTTTCTGAATGTTTCGCATTGATGTAATGCCTCGCTGAATGCACGTCAGTTTACAAAGTTTTAATTGCATACTAGGCAAGCTAAATGAAACCGAAAATAGTTCATGAGCGTAAAATATACTAATATAATTATTAGTTTCAGCAGTTGTTTAGTATTTTCTATATGTATAGAATTATTAAAGATAGCGGTCCGTCCTGGCTTCGCATAGATATTCTACAAAAATATTAAACACATGGGTATATGTGTTTTTGATATTGATGCCCTCTGTAAAATTGTATTTCAACTCTTTGCTCTATTGTCAATAAATTTTCAACATTCTATCGCCAATGTTCATCAGGAATAATGTAGGAATCTAATGGTAGTAGAATTTTTCGAATCGGCCTTGTAGTTTCGAAGCCAAACAAACAATGCAATATTTCATCTGTATAATATTACTATAGATGCGTAAGAACTTTATTAGTTATTATGTTATTATTATTAAGCAATAGTACAAACAGAGACAAGTTTCAATAGTGTAAGTTTAAAAAATATATGAAAATATATTTGTGTGTGGAGAAAACAGGAAAATAAATGTCTGTGGTAGACAAGCTATAGTTAGGCTATGAAGAATACTTAAACGACGAATTATTAATCGAAATTAAGCACAAAGCTTCATCTTGTAGGTCATATGACTAAACAATGCAAATAACTAGATTAAATTTATGTGTTAATTTCGAGACATGCCTTATAAAGAGCCACTATATTAGACAAAAATGAAATAACAACATTTTCGTATGTCACTTCCGTCTATTTTATTAATAGTACAATACCTAACACCATAATATCAATATAGGTATATTTATTTATCGAAAAATACAATTTTATTTGTATCGTACACTACGTTTATGCTATGAAAGAAATATTCTTTATTTTAAATAAAACAACTATCTGACTATTACCAACAAGTAGTCAATCACCCTATTTTCTTTGAAAATAAACTCTCGTCAATATAAGAAACACAAGCAAAGAAATAAAGTTTGTGACAAATATAAACAAACGTAGACGCAAAAATAAAAAGTACACGCCAGCCCGTGAACAAGGAAACAAGAGAACGCAATGATGGAGTCAAGGCCTCTGCATTTCGAATTCATAAGTCCTAGCCAACCCATTACAACCTCGCCACATACGGTGGACAAAAGCGGTACTCTCAACCATACACGCTGTTCAAACACCAATGTTTCGTTCAAATATTTGCTTAATTACACATACTAACATGCGGTGTTTCTTACAGACTATGTTTTAATATAGCAGCAATGTATTATTTACGTGTAAGTCAAAATAAAGTAAAAGTTATTTATTATGACTAACCGTGACTCAACTAGAGGCTATATGCCTATCAATAGTCCAATGATATAATAGGATTATGATGTTTTATATCTAGTTATTCGTAATTACAAAAATACGTATCATATGAAAAAAAATTACTTTATTATAGAAATCGATACCTTTTTAATTACGCTTCTTTTTATTTTCTTTCTTTATATTTACATTACTAGATAAATTTTTACTAATAGCTTCTACTATCAATTTTATTAAAAGTAGTAATATAATAAACAATGTAAGAATAAAGGCATATATATCGAGCATATAATGCGCAAACCAATTTAATTTAAGGCCAGCAGATTTTAAGTAAGGCGCACCATTGTTTCTTATAACATATTCAATCCAAAACATAGCTGTATCTAGCGCACTCATTGGCCTATCTTTAAATCTACTTGAAATCTCCTGAGCTTTATTTTTATACGACGGGTTACTTAATACATCGTTCAGTATACTCCAGAGATTTTTTTCATTAATACTGTGATACTCTAATATTCGACCAAACCCAATGTCTTCGGCTTGTAGTAAGTTATTATATTGATCTGCGTAGATCGGTATTCCAACAATCGGTACCCCATGAAAAATAGCCTCCTGCGTTCCAATTAGTCCACCGTGTGAAATGAATACCTTAATATTTGCATGGGCTGAAAATTAAAATTAAATTATTTTAAAATAAATACTAATATACGATCATGATACCTACAGATGTATATAAGATGTGAATTACATTTTTCGATCTTATATTAAAACAATTCCATTCTTATCTGTACATATATTCATATAAATAAAATTGGAGTGTCTGTATGTAATATTGAAATAACCGTTTTTTACTATATGCATATGAATATAAATACGCTACATACACCACAAAAACGTTTTTACAATTTTTGTCTGTCTGTCGGTCTGTTTGTTCTGGCTAATCTGTAACTGGACCAGCAGGACCGATTTTGACGGGAATTTTTAGCAGGTAGCTGATGTAATAAGGAGTAACTTAGACTACTTTTACAAATTTAGAAATTTAGAATATATTTTAGAAAAATAAAGCTAAATTCTACGCGGACGAAGTCGCGGGAACAGCTAGTCTACAATATAAACAACACATCGGCTACATTTCGTTACTGCTGATACGTAAACCATTACTGATTTCCTACTTGAACCTCATTATCTTTTGAAATAACATGTACAAAGTTTTGCTAAATTTGTACCAATATGCATACGAAAGAACGACACAGCACGTATCTCTTCTCTCTCACCGTCTTTTTCATCCTCATACGTATGGTAATGTAAACTTATTGAGCAACGAATTGGTTTGCAACGTCTTTCTCAACCAAAGGGCTTATCTGGATACTCACATAGAATTTCTTTTTGGGGTAACCATTTCTTAATAAATAGATTATCTGGTTTGTTTTCTAGTGTATCCTCCTCCCATTTCCATATAACTGTCTGTTTGAGACGTCTGAATACGTCCAAGAATGCTTTTTTCTTGTCAGCAGGCAATTCTGAACTACGTACATTGGAGCCGAAGTTTACATACACAACCCCATTTTTTGATCTATCCAATAGATCTTGTAGATCCTGAAAAAATTCAAGACGTATTTTTATAATTACCATTTATAAAATAGAAACAAGTAACTATCTACTAGATTTTAGACACAAATACCGCACTTCTAAACTATCAGTCGTAAATTCTAATCTAATTGACTTATGAATATTTCTAAATAATCTTATAGTCCATAGAATTTAGCTGAATGGGCGATATTGCGAGAGAAATATATCGAATGTAATATTATGTAATATTATATTATGTGTGGTAATATTCATAGTCACAGGTTTTGCCACTTAATGTTTTTTTTTAATGTAATTAATTTGTACATATTATATGTGTACACGGAATATTCACAATGATAATATTATATATCTACTAATCTAGCTACCAATATTTCAATGGTGTTAAAAACGTCATGGTTAGCGTATCAACAGATACCGTCAACAAAGTGCACATTTTGTTATTTGTCATTGACAAAAAAAATAATAGTGTTTATTGAAAATTCATAATAATTCATATGTTAGGTGATTGTATATGCTCTTTCACGGATATAAAACTACAGTATTCCTACTGCAAATAGTATTCCGCTAAGAAATAAAAAGAAATTGCTTATGCTGTACTGACGCGGAACTCTAAAAATAAAACAACTCACTGTTAGACAACTTCTAGCTTTGATCAACTCGTCTCGTCATTAATAATAATGACCCTGACTCCGCATGAATGGTACATGTACATCATGTATTGTAATACATTTGTAGACATAAGATTATACATAATTGTAAATAACATATGCTACTGCTTTTTATAACATGATATACCTGACTACAAAGAACTATAAGGAAGAGTAGAGACTTAAACAATTAGCAGTTTATGTATATATGTATTATATATATTTGGTTCATAGATATAGACAACATGAAAGATATGTATGTTTCTAAAAGTAGTTTTAGTGCTTATTATTATTACTAAACTATGTGACCCACTAAACTTCGTTTGCGTCATATTCAGCCCGTTTTTTTACATATGTACAAGAATTCTGACGCAAATACTCTTCATAATTTACATTCAGAACAACTACACTAAGAATACAGTAATAAAATTATTTTCTTACATAATCCTTAATAAGTAACATTAGTTTCCTCAATTTCATTTTCATAAAAAGTTAACCTAACGAGTCGGAAGTTAAATATGTAATCGAAACCCATATGAAGTAACTTACCTTCGGCAAAGATGCATTGCCTTTTGTTAAATGTAATCCACCAATTTCAATTATATTAGGTCCGTATGCAGCAGCGGTATCGAAACTAAAGTGCCCATTGATCAGTATCAAAGATGTATTTTTTTGTATCTCATACAAACTGGGCACTGGTTTCCGCAAGTTAGGCACATACTTCGTAACTAGTTGCTCTTGTTTCTCTAAATACCAATATTTCCATAAAATAAACTCGTATACTGTAAAATATAGATTTCTCATTCTTCCCCAAAAGCTCGCGGGCTCTCGCACAGTAAGGAATTCAGAGGTAACAGTGGATAATTGTAGCGGATTTCTTGAAATAATATTATGTCGCATACAATTTCCATACGTTGTTATCAATACTAGAGGAGCATTATACTTATGAGCCAAAACGTACATAGCCTCCTGATAAAATTGCTCAGAAATTATTAAATCAAATGAGTGATCTTCTTTGAGGAACTGCTGAACCTCACTCGAATTTAATGCTACTTCTGTAAATGCTAATCCACCAGTCCAAAGTATTTTTTGATGAAATTCTTCGTCTGACATATCGACCATTGTAAACACATTTGGTCGCTTGATACCTGTAAAGAAAAGCATCTCAATATTTAAAAAAATGGCAAATATATGTGTTTGAATAATGTCACATACAAAATTCTCCGCTTCTATAGAAGAAGTATTGGTTAAGCATATGTACTTCATTAGGGAAAATCCTATTATAAACTGTCTTTTACAGAATTTTTACATAGACCGAAAAAAAGATATATATAATATAAGATACAGACAGGAATTTTTTCCTTATAAAATTTTTTTTCTGGTCACTCAGCGCCATCTAGACCCAAGTTAAGCTAGCTAAAGCTTGTGTTATGGGTACTAGATAACTGATACATATACACAGATTTTTTTTAAATACATACATATTATACATAGAAATCACCCAGACCGATACAAATCATAATCATGAATACAAATGTTTGTGCCTTGCGAGGAATCGAACCCGCGACCATCGGTTGTAAAGCGATGTGCTAGACCGCTAGACCACCGAGGTCGTCAATATAACTTACCTAACAAATATAACTTTTAATTGTTGATAATTTAGAAAAGAATTATCAAAATCAGTTAAGAATTGGCAAATATAATAATACTACAAATAAGATAATATTAATATTATATAAATAAATACAGTCGAACTCCTTGTATTTGAAGACAGTTGTTAAACGTAACATTGGTTAGGTACCTACGGTATAAGCATAAGGAAATTCGATTTGTAGTATTGAGGAAAATCAGTCTTCAATTAGACGGAGTTTTTGCACGTCTTTTTATTCATTAGTCAATATGTCAAGTAAATGCGAATATTTGCGTCTTCATAATTGGCGAGGCCGGTGTTTTTGTTATGAATTATGATAGAATTGTAACCCCGCCCACACTATTAAACCTAGGTAGACTGTGTAATCGTCTGGTACCGTATAATCGTCTAACTCACCCGTTTTATGACGCTGTTTGTTTTATAAGCTGTTTTTTAATAAAAGGTGAGATATGACTATTAAATTACAGGGTACGGAAGTATGACATCTTCGTCCATAGCAATATAATAAGTGATACAACGGGGTCACATGATAATTGACGTGATGTCCGTAATAGTGTTCATATATGAACAATTGCTACACGAGCATGATCTTTTCACATTTATTTCAAGTTAGTAACTAAACAGTTACTATGAAGGCATAGAACAAATATATTTGTGAATCAACAAATATATTTGAATCTAACGTATGTATCTACAACTTTTACTGGACGAATTTTGATTGTGTAACTGCAATGTTAATTAAGTTTACGACTACCCGATGGCAACTGTCAACTATCCCTTTAAGGCATAAACATACGGACGTCACTACACCATTGATTAATATCCCTTGTGCAAAATAAAATTATGATTACATGCCTGCACTAATAGTTTTGTTTCAATCATTATAAAGTAGTAAATAGTTTACATACCAAGAACGTCCCAAATCTCTTTATTGTCTACCATTACTTGGTGGTAATTCGGTGGTCGTTTAACCTCCTTGTGTCCTGTTATAACAGTTACATTGTGACCCCTGCGTGCCAACTCAAGGCCTATAGGCTTCTGCATAATATAATGTGACTTCCCCGTAAACGGAATAACATAAAGTATATTGGCCGTTAAAGAGAAACCCACAAGGCCCAATAACAACATACATAACTGTAAAAAATCCTGAAACAACACAAAATCACTCTATACATTTTCTTAAAAAAATATTTATTTATAAAAAAAACTATTTCGTATACCATATTGCTGTTCACATCTAATCGTAACCAGTGAATTAAATCGTGCAAATTATATATTTCAACTTTATCGACGCACGCTATGAATTGAGTCTGTTAATCATTTATCCTAAACACGCCAGACGAAGTGACATCCTCTCGCTCGACTGAACCACATAGACTAATAGGTCACTACATTGTATCTCTCAAATATATGCTGGCTCATGAGACAGACCGCTAATTTATCAAATTGTAGGTTAGATATACCTACGCATCGGCAAAATATACATCTAAAATCGTAAAGTATATTTATATACATTGATAAGGAGTAATTTGCATTTTAATAGTATTTAATAATCACAGTAATATGTAACATAAGCAGTTAAATAATTTTTAGTAGGTAGGAGTAGATTAAAAATACTAAAGTATAGTTTTATTTATGAATAAATAATTGTAAAATAGCACTAAGTTGAGTTAACTACAATTTTGGCTAAATTGTATTATAAATATATAAAAATCGACTAACATTATAATAAGAATGATTATATCTACCGACAATAAATTCGGGGAATTTATGATGTCCATGTGGACATTTAATAATTTCTACAGCTATGACTGTACCTACCTACTGTAAAAGGGATAAACTGTATGGTTTTAACTTTTAATTTGACATAATATCATAAAAACAGTTAATTATTCATATAGTTTCCTCGTTGTAGTCTTTATTTTTAGCGCCCTCTATCTAAAACTTTGGATATCACTGTTGTTTCTGGCATGTCATGTCTATAAAATTTTATATGGAATATGTAGATGTCGCTTATTCGAACACAAAGTATTTTTTTTTAAGAATGATAATAGAATGTTGCACCCGCCTGCACTAACGGTGTATGCTGGTATCAGTGGAGGATGATAAGATGAACATAATGTCAGGTCAGTTAGTCCATCGTGGTAAAGTCATCATGAATTTATCATCTGGATCCCGTCTTAAGAATATGTAACTCTAATTAATAAAAATAAAAATAATTGCTGTGAAATATAATTATATCATAATATATTTTTTTTTATTAAAAAATAAACTAGGCTGGTTTACAAATAATAGAATGTATACATACTTACCTAAGTTTATTTGCAATCTGAACTCCAAATGTGTGGAACAGGAGCCATATATTAAGTAAATATGTTAGATTTCACAAAAATATATATATACCTACTTAATTTCTGCCATGTAGATGCCATCTTGGTAAATACTTTACAGTATCACGTCAGCAAATAATGGTAATTATAAACAAATAGTCCAAAAGCCTTTCATATTATTCAGACTACATAAAAGACCCATATAATTTAACAATAAATATCTGTGTGTTTGTGCGTCTGTCTTTGACATCGTAACTTCTAAACGAATGGTCCGATTATGTTGTGATTCAAGACCAATGACTTTTTTCTTCAAAAGCTATCGAGACAGTTCTTAGGTACACTACAATGTTTTTAGTGTTTTTGGGGTCACAGATTTTTTTATCTTATAATCCTTTTTTTATATTATAGTCTTCATGGACTTTCAACGCATTTCTTACTGGAGCGAGACTTCTATATAAATATCATTTAAGTACAACAAGAAATAATTATTGGCAAGTAAGGATTAATCTCAAAACTAAAATGACATGTAAGAAAAAAGTATCAGAATATCAAAGTAATTAGGTATAGGCAAGCTACCAACAACAATATTGTCTCTTTTAATATATATGTATTATAAATGTGATAGTTTGTGACATATTTCAATGTTTTTTACTTTATACCACATAAATGATTGGATAAATTAGTAGTTATAAAGAGGTATATAGATAGTTTACGTTCTAGAATATTATTATTTTAACTCAAATCTTACGAAGGCAAAGCTATAGGATATCTTCTTAGTTCTGAGAGAATACTAGGTACTATAAACTGTACTGTATAACTTTTTTCCTAAACAAGAAGTATGTATACATATACATACTTCTTGTTTAGGAAAAAAGTTTTATTGATAGTTATGATAGTTCTTTCCTTTTGTCTATTAAACTCTGTTTTAATTAAAAGAAATCAATAGAAACATGAATAAACCGAGTGATGTACTAAAAGACTAAAAAATGAAACAAGATGCTTAGTTGGAAATTAACACATTATATTTTTATTGATACACTTCTTATATAATTAACAAAGAATAATATCATTATTCTTTGTCCAAACGAATAAAGTATACAAATTGCACAATATATTTCAATAAACAATACAATATATAATATTATATATTGCAGTATTAAATATTCTTTAGTCAAAACAGAATTTTGAAGTTCTAACTTTAAACTTCTAATGTAAAAGTAATCTCTTTTAGTTGAATTTACTATAAACTCGGTTCCATTAATTTTATCAGTGAAATAAATCTAAAACTATTCGAAAGTAGTTCATTAATTTTTTGTATTTAAAGACAGACATTTTTTCTAACGGTACTAGTGCAATTTATATATGTACTTTAGTCGACCACTAAGTATGATTTATTACATGAATTACTAATTTTCGTTATTCCATACAATATATGAGTGTCGTAAGTCTATTCACAATCAATTTGTCAATAATATTACTTAAGCTATTTTGAATAAAAATTCGTACATTGGACGGAATTAGGATATTAAAGGCTAACATTTAATTAGTAAAGCTACATGACTTTTTACATAAAAACAAAAAGCTGCTTACTTAAAATAGAATTGTTATAAGTATAATATTATTATGCAGTTACCGTTCAGATATACAATATCTAAAGTATAAGGCTCAGTCCGCATTTGACTTTTATTTATATTATTATTAAAAAATATGGCATACAATGTTTAATAATAAACTTCTCTCGTTATTGCCTTTAATTTCTAATAATCTCTAATCTTTTCTGATACTTTATAATTACTACTTCTTCTTTCTGTATACCCATTTTTTAATTCATATCCCAACGGTGATCGTATGCCATTCTCGATGTATTTTATATTCGTAGTAGGCTCCTTGTAGCCTCTGCTCTTGGTAACAGAATTAATTTCTCTCGACTCAATTATTTCTTTAGACCGCCCATCTCTAGATGGGACTATTTTCTTGCTCACCGTTTCAACCGTATCCGTAATGCTTGGGCGTTCAGGATCCCCCGACCGAGTCTGATATCTATATGTCTCTGAAAAATTGTCACTGCTGTTACTACCTCGTCGAAGAGCTGGAGATTTTAGTCGTGTTTCCAAACGCGATACAAATGGACTTGTTTCTCTATTCAAAGAATCTGTTTTATACAAAGAAGTCTTTCGTTCTTCACTAATACGTTCTTTATAATGCGGCGAAGGTGTACCATAACGAGACGAGAGCCTACTACCATCTGATTCGTCATCGGCGTGTAGTGTTTGATATAATTCGGGAGCGCGTTCACGGAGACCTTTTAAGAATATCTTTTTTTTATCAGTGTTCTCGTGTGATTTACTAAATCCATTCGTATGCCCATTAGATAGTGGTGTGGTTTTTCCGTATCTAGCTCCAAATAATCCATCCTTTCGACGTTCAGTTTCACGAGAAACAGCATCGGCGAGGTCACGTTGACTTCGATTAATTATAGATACGATGCCTGGACTTTTTAACTGTTCTGGAGTTTCATCAAGCCGACTCAAGTGGGGGTTTGATTTATACATGGTAGAGTAATTACGGTTTATACCTGATATGTAACGTGGATGGGTCTCCTGTTCTGGTGCTCCCATAGCAAAACTCTTGCTTCTGTTAAGTGCTTTATATGTTCGAGCCGGCTTTGCTGGACCAGGTGGATAACCGTTTATTTTTCCGTCCGGCGATGTCGATATATTGTTGGATATGTTTACAGCACTATTGGACCGTTTGTTAGGAGTCAGTCTATGCCAATACTTGTTTGAACTTGGCTTCTCGGTGGGTTTCTCTTTGCGTTCGTGCAATTTTCGTGGCAATGTCTGTGCACTTCTTGTATAATCTTCTTCTGGTTCACTGTTCGGGTTCAATCTACTCGTTGAATGACTGAATCGACCCAGCGTACTTGAAGATTGACCCCTGAAATGCAAAAAAATAATACTATTAAGGATTTTTTATCTTAATAAGGATCTTTGTCTGTAAAACAGACCCACGTATTTTATTGTTGTCTTCTTATATATCACAAAAACATATAATCTTGTTAGTGATTGTATTCAATGATATCGCATCCCACGCACCTAACGACCATTCTTTGTTTACGTTGAAGTGCCGTAACGAAGTCTACATCTGATTTACGAGTTTGTAGTCTGTACTATTGCGCAGAAGTTGATATATTGAGGACTATAAATATGAAACAACATAAAAGCGTGAGATTAGTAATTAACTTAGTTGAACATAAAAAAAACAATGGAAGCAAATACTTATTAATTTTATTTCATGATATCGTATCGAAGTAATTAACATAAAATTACCATAGATACACCTGTCACAAGCTAAGAATGTTTCCCTGTAATGAGTCATACGAGTTGTTGGAACAAATGACAAATTGTAATAAACTGACTATTTAATCTGACAACATTGTGACTCAGTAAACTAAATAAGGGTTTCTTTGTGAGTTAAATATTTAACCTATTATGTCCATGGTCGACTACGGATCTAAAAGGCAAGATTACGCCGGAAAATAATCTTGACTTGTCTGATGTATTGCAAAATTCTGATCAGTTGCAGTTAGCCGTTCATTTGCAATGACAATTATTTAGATGATGAATATTTGATGAACTTTATTATGGAAAGATTGAATAAGAGCCGTGATGTGTGTGTTTTTATAAGCTATAAACTGAAATATGTAATCCGCTATTTACTCATTACATTTAGTAGTGTAATCCACTAAATCGATATGTGCAATAAAGAAAGTGCAATTCAACATACAGATAAATACAAATTAAAAATATATATTTCGTGTAAAGCTTTGATTTCCAAGTCTTTATTTGTTTATGGTGACTGTTTTAAATGATCAATAATTATAGATACAAGTAACGCGAATAAGTACAAGGCCTTATTTACTTCCATCTCCCTCGTGACTGATATTAATCATATTCGAAGTCTGTTTTTATTATTCCGGAATTTAGTTATATGAATATCTACCTAGTTAAAGTTTCTTAATAGCCGATCCAATATTATGGTTTCAAAATCCTTATATACTTTATTAGTATGTAATTTGGTCAGCCTTGCGTAAATTGTAAACTTAACATGCGACGTCATCTAGAAAGTGTGCAAATTACCAATTTAGGAATAAATAACTTTTGTTTTATTTACGCAACACTGAAGTAGTAGGCGACGCCTGCCACTTTCCATTAAGTGGGCCGGCAGCCTTTTTACTATTGTAATTCCTGTTACAGGATCTAAGTGCTCGTCGTAAGGTTTCTTATTGCCAAGCCTATCTAAACTCGGGGATATAAGGAAAGTAAATCACAAGCCACTAAAATATAACAGTTAAAAAAATCGGCGGTTGTCAGTTCCTAGAAACGCAACCGGCATTTTCTCCACATTGTATACATTACTTTTGAGATTTGATTACTGAGAGTTACTATCTCTCCTACCCGGAGAGATAGTAACTCTATTCCTATTCTATTTTCACTAGTCTCCAACGCGAAACTCGTTCTAGAGTTTTTGATCATGTTGTATGCCTGGCTACAAAATCTATATTGAAGACGGTCCCGCTATAATAGAAATAAATTATGATTTAGGCCTAAATCGCTGAATCAATTAAGATGAATGTTGGTATAGGGATAGATTATACTTCGAGATGGTTATAAGCTACTTTTTCTCTTTATGGGCTAAATCAAATATACGAAAAGTTTGCAGAAATATTGTTTTTAATTCAGAAAATGAAGATTAACGCGAGAGAAGCTGTGGGAAGAACTACTATAATATAAAATGATCAGAATCGAATTTTGATAATTGACTCGATTAATTTGTTAGAGAATACCCAAGAAATAAATGGTAATTTTTTTTTATAAATGGCGAATTTTAAACGAGCCGACTATACGCGTTTCAGGAATACTTCTTCTTCTTCTTCCTTAGTAAGCAAAATATTTATAATAAAATTTAATACAATTGCTTAAAAGGTATATAATTACAAATTTCTACTATTCAAATTGAAATATTTTTTAAGATTAATGGACATTAAACGTTATTTTACTGCATTGTAACACGCTTGTATCTTTGCTCACTATTATCATATCAAACGTCAAACCAGTTTGGTAGCTTTATGTATGTACAACTATAATAATTTCTGAAAAATGATATTATGACTATAGAGCATCTCTTCACAACATAATATATTCATTTCATTTTATTTTTTTAATTCAATCAAAAGACGTCTTGACTCTTGTTCTGCGTGAGTGTTCAACGGCGTCTGTTTAAGCCATAAACAATAATCACAATATTTAAAAAAATATACTTAATTTGAATCGGCTATAGTATGAACCCTACACTGCAATTATGTAAACGTTTTGTGTATATTTTGTCATTACAAATATTAGATCATAGCTTAAAATTGTAATTTGGTATTATTTTAAGTAAGAAGTTTTTTTAAAACAACAGTCCGTTATAAATAAATAAATAATTTAAAATATATAATATTCTATGAATTAACATCGTAACTTAAATCTATGTATATTACATATAACTATTACAGCTCCTAAGCATTTTAAACATTTATACACGTAGGAGGCGATAAGGATCTGTTGTAGGACAAGATTCTATTTAAGGCTCATATTTTTTTAAACATTTTTAAGTTATTTATAGTTATGATATTACAAAATGTTATAAAATTAAGCATATTCAAATAAACAGATGAAAAAGAGCGTCGTTAGCTTCGGTACCCGAGCACTACCAATTAAGGACGTATGTCAACGTTACTAATATAAAAACGAACGTGCCTCATTTATTTTTATGTAGTAGTAAAGAATGTGGGGGTGTCACTCACCGGTCTCGATGATCACGGGCGTCAACAGCGGCAGCGCGTCGCGAACTGCCCTCGTACTTATGTTCTCGGCCGTAAATGCTGGGCGCGAAGGGGTCCTCACCAAGGTAGTAGCGGTGAGGCGGTGCGACAGGCGGCGCCAATTCACCACCGTACTGCTTGTATGTTCGCGACGAATGCTCCGGCGACGGCGTACGCGAGTTACGCCACCTTGCTTTACGTTCTGCTGATGCTGACCGAATCTTCCCAACTAACTTTCTAATAGAATTCCCAATTGCGGAACCCACTGATTTTCGAACTGGAGACGGCCGTCGTCCACTATCAGCGAAACGGGTTTTTTGATTTTGTTTACGTTCATCACGATCACGACGACGCGGCGGTGTTCGGTCACGATCGGAGCTGCTGCGACGGTCTCTCGGGGGAGAATAATCGGGAGGTGGCTCCGCTGTCCCTTCATCACGGCTATCACCTGAACGCCCTGAGTTCTCATTCCGAGATGAACTTCTGTAACCGCTATCGTAGCGCTGTTCTTCAGAGAGCCTGTGTTTGGAATGTCGTTTTCTTTCTGGTGCCACAGGTCGATAATCATCATCCACAGATGGTTCACGGAAGGAACGATCGGTTTCCAAAGGGCGGAATGGCGAACCACGCGGTGGACTATGCATTGTCGATGAGGATACGTAGGCGGAATCGTCTCGAGAAGGCGGATTACGTCGTCCGATAGGAGATAATCTTCCTTGAGGCGAATCACGTTTTCCATACACGTGTCTAGGTGACGAACCATTTAACCGATCATTGCTAGCATATGGTGAACGAACTGTTGGAGGCGAGGGAGAGGAGCTACGTGGCTCAGGCATTCTAGGCTTACTAGCACGTCGCTGTGACCAATCAGCAACACCTTTGAAATAACCTCCGGTTCTATTCACTGGCGGAACTGTTCTTTCATCGGAAGGTGTAGAGGATTTTGTTTTACGAAGGACTCGATCTCCGTATACCGGCGGTGGTGGTCCCGACGAAGTCTTCCCGTAATAACCTTCGTCTTCTGCTGCTTTATTTTTGGCATAGAAAGCAGGTTCAGGTCTTCGTCCTATCTCTTCAGCTATGGAATCATGGGATGACCTCGATTCGCTACCGAAATGACTCTCGAGCCACTTAGACGTTTCCTTTTTGCGAGTCTCTTCTTCTATGTCGAAGTCGAGTGGTCGTTTCGTATATTCTTTATCGTGTTCTGAAAGGATGAAAAGCTTTATTTAATATGATAAACCGTAAACCGTTAATACGAGACGAGCGGCTGTGCGGCGTCTCGCAGAGAAGTGTCACGGTATTGCTCGCGCACATGTTATGGCGTAATCGTAAGTCAATAAGTTTGCTAAACTATCGAAGGTCAATGCGATACAAACACTCGAGACATCTTTACTTAATCGCCATGAGACTCCGGTGCGGCAAATTATTTACTGAATAATAATTTCTAGGTCACTATTCTTAATGTTTTGAAGTATGCTATTATGTAACAATTTCGTAGTACTATTACAAGTGTACATAAGTTATTAGATTATGTATTTGTCAAATTAATTGCCACAAACAAATTCGTGTGATGACCAAATATTAACCCAGAAAACAAACAGGCTTGTCTTTTACTACGATTATTTTGAGATATATTACAAGTCTTAATAAAAGAAAATGATATTTTATACAAAACAATTAGTATTAATACTATACATATATTTTGTATGGTGATTTAATTTGAGATCATTAGAATGTGATACAGACCGTTAGATCAAGTAGGTCATTTATACCAAAAGAAATGACTATAGAGATATCTCACTATGTCAGAAGCGTTTCTCTAATTAAATGAAGATGGAATAATTGTAATCCCATATTTTCGAGTAGGTAACAATAATTGTAATATGTCTGAAGGGTAAATAAATATCTGGAATTAGTAATCTATTATTTTATTATTATTGACATTATATTTGTATTTATAAATGTATTTTGTACGAAATTGCCGTAAAACAAACACATAAGTGGCGTTTGAAAATGACCTCAGTTTTCGCGTAGGCTCAATGACTCTCTATAAACAGTAAACTGATGAACAATGTTACTTAAATTACCTACTTTAATTCTCCTTTTGAAGTAGATAGTGGTTAAGTTTTGTTTTACCAAAATAACTTAAGGGAAAAGTAAGCCACTAACTTAATGTGTAGGAAGGTTGAGATGTAGGTCGGCAATACTTAGTGCAAAACTAATGTAAGAAATTGATAAACATAAACAATATGACCTTCCATTCAGTAACTCTGTAACTATGACTTTTACCGATTTTTAGCAATCATATAGGATGAATGGTAGTACAAAAAGTACATACTTTAATATAAATTCTATTAGAATGTAATTGCTGAGTTTAGAATCATTACTGCAAAACATGTCAAGCATAATTTTAACAGTGCCACAAATAAACTACTTATATCAAAATTATTTAGCTTTATTTAACACCAGGAATTGAATAATCAAATTTCATTCTGCACACCTACTCGGAAGCTAAGTGCCAATCATTAAGTGCGAACAAATTCATTTAACAAGGTCGGAATGTGTAACATTACTAAATAGATGCTCGCGTATTGTATGAGAAATGAATGGTCGATCCCAGTCATTATTATGATAATGCAAGAAAATCTAATAATCATTCATTTTTGTCGACAGTATACAAAAATACCGGCCAAGTAGAACTGACGATGTCGCTCCGTATAACAAGTAATAAGTTAAATATAATATTCTAATATATTCTTCTGTTTTTTTGCTTTTGCTAAAGGGATGAATTGAATTGGCTAAAGGGAGTGTGTTATACAATTAGGGTACTGCAATCATTATTTTCCTTTTTTTTATTTAGAGAATGTATATAGTCTACTTAATCTATTAATATTTGGCCCAATACCGTTATTAGTATTACTCTCGTTTTCCCTTTCTATTAAGATGTATACAGTATATAGTAATCTACATAAATAAAAACATTTTAATATTTCTCCACTATACTATAAAACACTATTATCCTAAATCTAATACTGGCATATATATTTGGGATAATATTCATACAAGCTACTATTTATATGATTGATTAAAAATACCATTTAATGCAAAGAAGACGCAGATAAAAACTAGCAAAATATCCATGTGTCTCTTTAAAATACTACCGTAAAATGCTGGCGCCAGGTGAGACGGCGTCACCCAAGCCTTATACGATAGATAATTAAGATAATATTCTTAGTATAACTCTACATACATATACACAGGAAATTAAATAAATTAAAATACAAATTATTTGTTCTTATTTTAATTTACTCGTTTGTCCTCCATATCAGGTTACGTCATTTCCCAACAACTAGCATTATAATATGGTACAATGCATGATTCGCAGGCTTGTCTATAGTTATTAGAACTAAATTGTATAAATCATGCTCAGAGTTCTGATAATTAAACGACTCATAACTAAAAATAATAATAACGCACGACAATTTATTTCACAGGTACTAAATAATAGTAACAACTAAATTTTTAACATTTTTAATTTCCTGATAATATTTAGATATATTTTTAATATATTAGAGTAGGTATTAGACACGTTCACCGCGTATTTGCCCGTTTCTATTAAATCTAAATCTATTATCTAAATAAAAAAAACTAAATTACTAAACTGAAAATACAAAGTTAGAACCGAGCACCAGCTAATTAGGCCCTTGTTAGATCAATCACTCAGTCGGGATAAGCGTTTAATACATAAAGTTTCAGAACTCTATGTTCTTACTCCATCACTAACAACAAAAGAACCACAAAACTATATAACCTATAAAATATTTGTTTTATTAAATGTAGTAAATATAGATACTAACTTCTAAACGACATTGCTCAAAGCGGCAAGATTATGCGAGTTAATTATTAGCGATAACAAGTTGCCTTAAATGTTCATGTCGCGTAGTTTGTTAGGCGCCGTGGGCAGCATATCTATCTACGGATAACACTCTATAAACCAATATTTAAATTCTACCCCACCTGCGCAGGTACCTACAACGTCGCATATTACAAATGCTACCGCTGTACAGTTATAGATTTCTTATAAACACAACCTGCATCTATTAGTGCACACGAGTAATACCAAGTAATTGAGGGGATTGTCAGTCATGTGGACTAATAAGCCCATTGCTAGTAATGTACCATGTTAGGTTAACCTTCGGTTTCTCCTGGAAACCATCGTGATAAATTCCTTGTGAATTCGCCACGATGAGCTCACTCAACCTACCTAATTCTCATTTTGTCTTCTTCTACCAGTGCCCCGCCAGAGTAAACTGTTAGTGCTAGCGGATGCATAAATTCATTATTCACCATTAAAAAAAACTTAGCATTCAAAAGCTATAATGGCACACAAAGACTATACAGAGACTATATATTTTTTGACGTAGTTTAAAACACTTTGACAATATGACTGATAAAATAATAAAAATAATAATTGATTAGGTAACAATAATCTTTATACCTACAAAATAAGCTGCCTAGCGGTTCGACCTGGCTTCGCACGGATATTGAATAAAAATTATAAATTTTAAAACTTATAACAAATAAACCATAATATCATCCTTTGATATCGATGTTCTCCATAAAACTTAAACTTTTCTCTCTCTTCTCTCTCTCTCTCTCTCCCTTCTCTCTCTCTCTCTCTCTCTTCCTAAATTCTACTCTAACTAGTACAAAAATATTGACAATACAGTATATTGTCAATATTTTTGATAGGGTGCGCCATTTTTTTTTGGATATTTTTTCACACGCAGGCTTACATTATATATATGTATATAAGTTTTCATACGGATCCATAAAGTTTTTTCAAAATATTCTAACTCCTACATCCATCAGGGATAATTTAGGATCCTAATGGTAAAATAAATTTTCAAATTTTTTAAACTATCAAATCTTTTCTCATAATTTAATTTAATTTTAGGTACAGATCGAAATTAGAATTTACAGGCGAAAATTATCTTATTGTTTAAATGTTAATATTTATATATTATATTATATAAATACGGCCGGATAATTTAGACTGAAATTTTCACAGTATATGTATAATGAAATATATTTAGCTGTCTGACAAAAATACAAAAATATTGGAGTGAAATAATTTGAATTAATTTTCTGAATGTATTCATTGGCGGAATGAAAACATATTTTTTATTTATGTATAAAATAATAGATGCCGTCGTGTAGATGTTTTATTCATTCTTGACGTTTGATTATCATCAATAGATGGCGTGGCCTGTGCGTGTACATATGCTGTAACATATGTACACGCACAGGAAGTCTGGGCATATCTACTTAGTATGTAGGTATGTATATAATTTAAGGATATACAATACATCTTTATTTCATATTCATTATTTAAATTCATAAAACTATATCTTTATTTACTTTCTAAAAAGATCGTAAAATACTGTATAAGATGTAATTAATTGTAGATTTTAGCCAACTCAGATCGTAAAGTCAAATATGGTACTGAAACATATATAGTAGCTTGTTTTTAATTTAAAGTTAAATAACTATAAACAATCTCACAAATACGTAGTGTAATAAGAATATGCGTATCAAGAAAAGCATTATTCATAAATGTTGTACAATATTTTCACAATATAAAAATGCTATTCCATAGGACAAAATGGTCCTATGGAATTGATGACAACTCATGAATACAACACGGTAACACGGCTGTCATATAATAATGCCCGTAGTGTTCTTCAGAACGGTTAGGCGGGAGTTGGCCTATATTTCACCCAATTTACATAATATCTTTTTTTAAATTATATCCAATATGTTATTCTAGTGTACAAGTTATGTTACTGTCAAAATTTCATCAGAATACGTTCAGTAGTTTTTGCGTGAAAGAATAGCAAACTATCATCTAACGATGAATCCATCCATACTCACAAACTTTCGCGTTTATAATATTACCAAGGTAAAATAAATTGGTACCTTTTACTAGATTTGAATTATTCGAGTAGATTATAGAAGCATTTTTCATTTGTAATTAAGAAGAAGATAAATAAAGAATAAAAATAATTACTTATAAGATATTTTGTTTCCAATATTTGTGTGAGCATAAAAACTGATATAATAGCTTTTGAAACTTTGCTGTTGTTAATATTAATAATTATTAGCCAGTCTGTATCTATAACTGTAAATTTAAAAACAATTAACGTATTTTTTGACTGTCGGTTTACAATCCAAAACATTGTCTAAATTTAAAATTAATAATGGTTATGATTCTAGTTTTCACACGACCGATTAATATTTCAATGAATTTAATTGACTTCTCACACACTTTCAAAGGGGCTGAGTTTGATTTGTTTTAATTTATAATATTTAATTTAATTTAATGCTATTTGCTATTATTTATTACAAATATTCAAATATATATATTATATACTAATTTCTATATCAGAGTTAAGTAACAACGCTATTTTCGGAACACTAACTATGACTTAATAAACAAATTCTTATGATAAATATTTAGTAATTTCAAAAGTTTAGACACAGTTAAGATAATGTTTAATTTTTTATTATTAATATAATATTATATTGAAGGAGTAAGAAGAAAGACGTTTCTCATTTTCCTTATGAGCAGGTCATAGAGCCAACTTGTAGCAGTATCTTAGAGCGAATATTGATATAAGAGAAGGGAAGGGAAACTTAAGTAAAACATTATACCCACCATTCAGTAAGACTGTACACAACATGCACGCGCCATATTGCTTCTAGAATATTATGTTATCTGTGCCTATAGTCTTATTTAATTAGGTATGATTGAATTTCGACCACTGGGCGAGCACTAGTATTTTATCATTTATAAGTGTGATGTTTCAAGGTAAGTATATACGGTAAGGACGGTAGGGAAAAATTAAAAATATAAGCAAAAATTTTGACGTTCATAAGCGGCTAATACGTCCTACATGAATAAATGATTTTTGAATTTGAATTTGAATAGAATTTAAATATAACAGGACATGGAGGCACGATTCGACCTTTAGTATACCAGTGCCTGAGGGGTATTACAGGTGTCACTTGATGACCTGATGTTCTTGACCATGTTGTTCTTATATGCACGAACAACACCAAGGACATCAAGCGAGGATTGCCACATACCCTCAAATGGGCTGTTAACTTGATAAAGGTAAGAAAAATATAAAGCAAAACACCTACCTGGTGATTGTTAAAATTCTTCAGCTTAATTAAAACTATTAAATATAAAATCACTATCACCAAATTTAAAAATCGAATTGTGTACTAACTTAAAAAATTAAAAATATTTTTATTAACGCTATTGGCTAAACTTTAATTTAGAAAAGCACATATTTATTTAAAATGTATAAATTTAATTTCTATAGCAACATTCAAAGATGTTTCACAGTCTTTGAATGTTGTGGACGCGGAACGATCCGTGGACCAAGGCCGTCAAGTTCACACTAAAATGGTCACAAGTCACAACGCTGGTCTATTAACATAACGATAGAAATACCAGCATCTTCCAGTTTTAGCATAATATTCAATGTCATTAATTATGTGAACGCTAGGGCGATTATCCAATTCTCGTAACTATTTATTTTAATACTTATCAAATTTGATAACTTTTATTGGAATCCATTGGAAAAACACGTAATACTTATTATTTTTGTATAATACGTTTTATAAAAATCATCAAGCTAAAGGTCCATAATTTGTAGTCTATTAAAATTATTATTGTATACCTAACTTTAATAACAATACCTAAATTTAATTACCTTCTTTTCTTCTTAAATCTCTCTTTCTTTCTTAAATAAATAACTGGCAGTTTAACTAGAGATTGCTATTAGGCGGGCGGTGTTTGATTACTACTATAATTATTAAAAATACTAGTTCCAGTTTTACAGTTTTATTCTTCAATGATTTACCGAATATGTATACCGGTACGACAGCCTAATTAGCCATAAACAAAGTCAAGTCCTCGAGTCATGTCATATCACCATTACTTATATATTACACAAAAATAAAATTAATAAGGATACCACAGATAATATTACATACCTATACGTAGAATATGTTTAGTTACCTGATGCTAACATGTATAATTGTAAATGCTTTAACAACGCCACCTATATTTCAACTGACACATCATTAAAAACGCGCTTTATGTTTGTGTCGCCATCTAGTGACACTATGTTTAGTATGCTTGACTGTGAACAAATAAGCGCCATCTAACGGTAAATAGTAGAAACTAAAATTTAAGAATCTTACCGTTGTGGCGAAGACGACGCTGTCGTCGCATACGAACTGAGAGACTATCCCAATCATCGTCCATGTTTGGTCTTCCTTCCCTCTCGCCTGCAAAATATTGCTTATTACAATATTCAATTAAATTAATGAATATTTGCTCACTGCAAATGTTTAAAAAATATTCAAATGTTATTTGACGGAATTACATAAAAAGTCTTATTGATATTAACAGATCCAGTGTAATTGCTGAACCGATTAAGACTAAAATATACCTCAAAGGAGCTCAAATCAGTATCCTGGCAATACTAAATGAACACCTTTAAATTTTTTACCCTCTTTTTAAACAAATGGGAATAATAATGTGCCCGTAGAATAATTAATACTGGCTTTTGAATAGGCCTTTGACCCGTATTAAAAAAAATCTACAGCATTCTTTATTCCAAATGTTATTTACTTTTGTTGGCTATATACCAAACTTCGCAATGATTGCTTGAGTAAAATAAAAACAATAGCGTGAATAAATAGTACCAAACAAGTACCTATCTTTACTTTCGATTAGGATAGAATAGTTGAAAATGGAATTGATACTTTTACCTTCTTCAGTGCGTGTACGAGAGTGTAGGTGTGTGGCGACGCGTAAACCGCCCGCCATCAGATCTGTGCTCCGTTCAAGATCCACCCGCTTCCTTCGTTCGGTGCCACCCGTCTCTTCTATTATGCTCTTGTCACTTGCTAGTGACTTTGCCTGTGACAATATAACGAAATTTGTTTGTTGTAAAAATGTACTCAAAAATCCTCGATGTATGAGGGGTTCAACGGGCCTTAGAACATATGTTTTGATGGGCGTCAGCTTATTCAGATAGTTTCCAATCGTATTCCATAAAATTAATTTAGTAAATTATTTTTTATTTTGTTAGTTAGTAAAACATAAACTCCCGGATCCACTATTGATCTATTTGAGAAATTCTTTTACCTCTTTGAACGGTATTTTATTCCAGAGTGACATAGGTTGTATATCGTAATATGTTATGATTTTGCTACTTCTGTGCCTTTTACCAGTATATACACCTATGTATATATTATACTTGTATAAAACTATATTATTGCTTGTCTGGTCGTCACAACAATTAGGTAAAGTTGTAATTTTTATCAATAAGGGACTCTCACTCACCCGGGAGTCATGATATAATACGTACCTCGTCTTTTGACAACTCTTCGTCGCAAAGTCGTTCTTGTTCCTTCGTGTGTCGAGTCTCGGTCACGATCGTCCCGTCCGGTCGCAGCGCTCGCAACTCCTCCTGCCCATTTTAATTTAATATATTCCACTCTAATAGCCACAAAATATAAAACAAATCCTAATATTGGAATAAAGACTGTCCATCACACAAACCACTGAGCAAGTAATGATAATGTTATGAGAGCTGCGGTGAACGCAACTCGACATTCATGTATTTCGTTGAAAACATTTGTACTCAACGTGGCAGTAGAAGAGCCTACCTCCATAGGATAATTTTTTGGTCTAATATCGGTGTTTTCTTCAGCGAAGGATCAAACAATAATATAAATTAATATAGAAACTATTGCGGTTTTAGCCAGATTTTATATGTATATGATATATTGATGTAATTAATGTCAATTAAAATTTATAAATACTCATCCACAGTTTAAACATGACTGACAAACAACATCCAAAGTAAAATATTACAAACGTTCCCATTTACAATAATCCATACATATGTAAAATGCAAAGTGTGCCTGTCTGTCTATTTGTGACGTTCTCAGCACTATGTAAAAGGGATAAAGGTATAGCGTCTAGCGTAGACAAATATAGGTTATGTTTTATGTCATATATGGTAGAAGAAGTTGCGGAAAACAGCTAGTACTTAATATATAATATGTATTTGGTATACTATGCAAAAAGGAAAATTTCGCAGGCTACAGCCGAAAGAAACTTCTCAGTGACATTTACCGTGTCATCTGTGTTGATGGTGGTGTTATAAGCGACAGTATCTCTGACCACCGTTGGTCCACGAGGTACCAGCGCTAATTGCTGCTCAGTCTGAAATTTCAGGGCATCTCGGATGTCTTCCTCGGGTGTCTCATTCACAGCTGTGATGAGAGCCTGAAACAAAAACACGTAACCTTTAATGTATCGCAACTATTAACCCTATCACAATAATTTTAAGTACTAGATTGTAAGAGCTAGATGAACTTAATCGACTTGACCTGTCAATATATGTATGCTAAATATGTTAGACGAAAATTTTAATGTGTTTCATTCTGTAACTAGAATGGCAAACCAGCTGACAATACGCTTTAGGTAACAGTTGATAACCGTCACCTATATATAAGATCGCCATCACAAACATGATGTTGTCAGATTACGACCGTAGTGTGATCATTTATTGGTATTACTATATTTCATGGACTAATATTGACTAATATTTCATGGCTCCGAAATTTTATCAATGTTATGACCTCTTTGGTTTCTATATATACCATCATGTAAGGTACTTAAAATAAATAAAACAGTAGAAAAAATATAACTATGACATGAAATGTCACATTAAATTTATATGGCAAATTGCATGATGACGGAAAATAAATTCTACAAAAAAGCTGCTTGTTACTGGGCTAATGTTCCAGCAACTATAGACGGAGTACTCGGCGGTTTTGGTTACATTTCGGACATTGACATCAATGGCTCGAGAGACTTTTTAAATAAAATTGGAGCACTCGATAGACATCCGGATTGTAAACTTGCATTAGACTGCGGCGCTGGAATAGGAAGGGTGACTAAAAACCTTTTAATTTCTCGATTTGAGAAGGTCGATTTAGTCGAACAAAACGAAAAGTTCATTAACACCGCCAAACAATTGATCGGCGAAGACAATGCCTGTCTTGGAACAGTGTACAAAATCGGAATTCAGCATTTCAAACCGCAAAAAAGATACGATATAATTTGGTGTCAATGGGTGCTCGGACACTTAAATGACTACGATTTAATAGAATTTTTAGAGAGATGTGGTGAGATGCTAGCTGACAATGGTGTGATAGTTGTAAAAGAAAATATTAACACATTTGCCGAATTAGAATATGACGATGATGATTCTTCAGTGACACGGTCATGTAGTCTCTTGCAAAAAATATTTAATGAGGCACAATTAAGTATTATCCTTTGTGACGTTCAAACCAATTTTCCAGAAGATATATATCCTGTTTACATGTTTGCTTTGGTACCAGTGAAAAGAGTATAGCCTAAAAAATATATCATTGTATACATAATTATTCTAAAAGTCTCTCATTCAAGTAGCTTGAAACAATAGAACGCGAAATGCTTCGGTTCAAACAACCTGATATGCTTCCTTCACATTCATCAGTCTGAATAGATTAATTAGTTTATATGAATGTACACGTTTGCTGATGAGGAGAACATTTAACATATCTCTATTTCAGCAGGTCACCAGTTTAATCAAAGTAAGTCGTTCTATAGCGATCTCTGTCTACATCTGCAATCATTGACGCCCGGCATAGGTAACTACTTCAAAATGTATATTTTAACAAATTACGAATATGCCTTATTAAATTTTCGTCATTTATTATACTTTCATTTACACTTCTTCGCCCCCTGTTTTTTAATGTTATCTATCATTTTGTAATTAGAAATTTATTCAAACACACTGTGCCTTTATTGGCCTCGTAGTCCTTTCTTGTCTTCCCCGTAGGCCTACTTCCTTCCTTCCGATAGTCGCAGTTTTGTTTTTTCACATGATACTTTTATATTCAGAAGTATGATTGTTTGTATTTGTTTAGTTGTTTTCTACGTATATTATGTATGTACGTTCACAAACTTAAAGTATTCTATTCATTGTTTAGAACACATAACACAAACTTTTTTTTATTTGTAACTAGATGGCGTTGTGTACTTTGTCCTATGGTATTATAATTATCACGGTTAGGACTAGCTCAAAAATATGCCCTGAGTACGTGCACTAACGGTGTCCATAGTGTCATACATACCTATAGTAGGTAGGTACTTCTACACAAAGTGAATGTTTATCTTTGATGGAGTGGCGAATCGTGGGTGGAATTCGTGATTGTGTCGTTAATAAAGTAAGATCTCAGCCTTACCAAGGCACAGCTACAAAATTCGCAAGTACATTTACTGTTTTATTCTGAGGCTAGGACATTTAATACTGTGAAAATTACAGCCAAAGATTTAATGCAGTACGGTATACAATATCCTATCTAAAATAAACTACTTTAAAAGAGTGAAGATTATCAATCAATTCGGCTCCATTGGACATAGTTTTCGATGTACCTATAACTTTATTAGAATCGGTAGGATTTACTTCCATTTTATTTCCATACAAATTTTGTCACAATTGAGGTAAGTTTGTAGTATCATTTTGTATATTATTTTGTATTTTTTATACTATTACAGATAATTTACTTGTATATCCACAAATTTTAAATTAATGAGTTCTTTATGACTACTAGTATTAATTTTCCATTATTTTAAAAGCAAGCAGATCAATTGTATGGCATTCAATTTTACTTACGCCTGCAATCTCCTAGATAGCGAACATTTCAATCGTATTATCAAAGCTTCTAAACCAAATCAATGCAATTAGCCATCAAATCTCTGCAACGTTCAATCAAAGAACAGTTAGCGATAGATATCGCACGATGGCCTGTTATTAGGGCCGCATCAATCTCACAAGCACAAACTCGCCGAGAAAATTAGTTACAGTTACATTGTATTCTAAAATCAATACAATTTTAGACAGTGACATTCAAATTGTATGTTAGTTTTTTATTATTTTTAGTTCTTTATACTTTACTTTTGATTAATTTTACCTCCATGTACTACAATAAAGCACATATACACGTAATTCTTTACATTTATACGGTATAGTTAGTTAACGGGAGTTAGATTAAACCAACACTGCCACGGGTCACGGTGAACTTCGAATTCGATCCTGTAATCCTGGCGCTAGTAGCGAGCGGAGGACACCATGGAGCTTTAGCCAGTAGGAGTTGGGCAGTATCCGTTCACCTCGCCGGGGTCGGTTCTCCATGAACAGTTCAAATTTTAAACTTCAAACAAAAATAAACGTTCTGAAGCATATAAATCTTTCTTTTTGTTGTAATACATATTTTTGAATTTGTATACTCTGATAGTCTCTATATTTGTAAACTTCAAAATAGTATATAACGTACATTTATTGTGATGTCACGTATGTATATCTACTTTCCTTGTTTAAGTACTGCCATTTTGGCATAGGATTACAAAGCACGTGCAATCTGTTGGGGGCAAACATATCGTATATCGACTTTGGCACGACCCACATATCCACAGATGCATGAGTGTAACGTGTTGCATGCAAATGTTTTATGCAAAATATTGCAAATATATAAATATGCTTACATAAATACTACACGAAAATCAGTTCCTGATGATACTATATAATTCTTTCATACTATAATATCTCAGGCCAATTCACACAGCACCATCTAGTCCCAAGCTAAGCTGGGCTCGTGTTACGGGTACTAGACAACTTATACATACATATATTTTTTTGTAAATATAATACATACGTATAAACTGTCATGAATGCAAATGTTTATATCGTGTAAGGAATCGAACCCGCGACAATCGGAAGTAATGCGGTGTGCTAAGCTGCTATACTACTGAGGCCGTCATACAGTCTAGTGATTTTAAATCTGGTAGAACTTAGTAATAATTTTAGAAAAGTAATAATACTAATTCATAAAATATTTTTATGAATTAGTAAATTTCCATCAAATTGCTTGGTATCTGACCAGCCTATGTGCCCACCTGCCTTATTGTTCTACATTTTCGCGTGAATAATATGAAATAAGTAAAAGTAATGGTGTTAAAGTATGTCGACTGAACACAGACTGGTCACGACTTAAATAATATTCGCTTTTGATTGGCGTGTTTTCTGTTCTGACCGCCATTTGCATTTATACGCATTAAATACTACGGACGTAGATACTGTAAGGTACATTCAATTAGTAGTACGAGTACCTACTCCCAAATGAGGCGAGGCATTTGAAAGGTTTTATTGATTAAAATGTAATATTAAGTCGGGACTTAACAAACTTTAAGACTACTTAAATATTGCAATACGTAATCTAAGTTCTCAGAAATATAATTCGTTTTCTAAATTCTAATTCTTACTCATAGTACATGGTATCTATACATATTATAGATAGATACTAAATACTATGAATAGTAATTATTTCAAAATTCTTAATAAATTATTACATAAATATTTTTTTATTTATTCAAAAAATAAAAAACAACTCTTAATATTTCAACTGTATCTACTTTTCCCATGTTTGTCACTTTTTTTTAAGAAAATGGAAAATTGACTAAATAATACAATAGCCAAATTTTTTAGACATTTGATGTTTACATGGATGCAATAACAGTTTCAAATATACTGACAAGTTTACAACTCTCAATCTTTCCTTTGTTAACTATATTTGGAAAACACTCAACCATTCTGGAATACCACGTCGTTATACCCTCCATTCCTGTAATTTTACTGCGTTATCTCAACACTACAACCAAAACACAGTTTACAAAACTTGATGCTTGGTGGCTGAAATAAGTGAGATTGTGATGCCCAAGTATAGGCGACTTTTAACGGTCTTTTTAAAAGTCTTAATCGGGTAAAGTTCTATTAACGTATTTCCATTATTACTAAAAAGTGCTATGAACATTATGACAAATTACAAATAAAGCCCGCCTCGTACCATACAATTCTGTGATGAATATCTTAATATCTGATACTCAGTCAATATCACGTTTTTACAGAATCACTTTTTATGGTTTGTACGAGCGTGTGAAGTTATTTTGTGAAAGGTGATGTTTGAATGGTGTCTTGATATATCGTGTACTTAAATGAGGTTTTTATACTATTTAATAATAGAAACGGCATTAATGTTTATCACATATTAAATATTGTTTGAATGTAATGTGTATGTTATAAAAATATGTAAATATATTCTAATAAAATGTATAAGTACTTTGAAACCCTGTCTGTATCTAAAACAAGTTGTCATACATGTTTTATTTATATTTAGTAGGTGCTAAATCACATTATTTCAGATAGAGAATTCAACGGGATACAGCCTGTGTTTCCTAATTTCATGAAGAAATCCTTACCTTACGAGTACATAGAAAAACTATGCATATTTAATACATATGCATATATTTTTTATTATATTTTTTACATCTATTACAAACTAATATAGACCCACTTCTAAGAAAGCTTGATGCGCCTAAGTCTATTTGCAATATATTTAAGCGGCCATAAACCTGCATTAAACCGCTACTATTACTGTAATTTGCCTGTAAATGATAAGTTTTTACGAGGCCTTTTAATGCGATTGAAATATGGTCCAGCAACCTTTCTATATTTGAAATCTGCAGTCGTACGGAGATCCTTTGAAAAAGTTCTAGCTTTTGCTAAAGATCATAAATATCATAAGAAAATTAATTAGGTAGACTACTATCACTCTATGTTTATGTTCTCAATATCTTTTTATGTACCTAACTAGCATATTTTAATGACACAACTAATAAAATGTGGTAACCGGTACCGTATAGAGACAAACAACAACACATATACCACAATTTGTATTAAGGATTTCATTTTAATTTTCAAGAAGATTAAAAACTTATAAACCGAACACTTAAACACCGCATTGTTTTGAAGACTAAGTATAAGTTGCCTTAAAACAAGTAGGTCTTTGTGAAGATACTGTGATCGAATTCCAATTGAATTCATTTCAAATAACTCGTCGATGCAACTGTCATATAATCCGTTCATATACAATTCGGTGGGTTATACATTATCATTGTATTGGAATTTCAGTAAATAGAAACTATTTGTCACGATCCCTAACAAATAGTATCAACGTAGGTAGAACCACTATATCATCATTATTAATAAAATACGTTATTTATTACATAGATACTTATATAGGGTATTTTATTTTCGCATAACTGAATGCTCATGAAACTGATTGCGGAACAAGCTTTCTCTTGTCAACGAAACCCTGTTATAAATCATGACATATTTGCAATTGAATATCTTACATATAATATGATACTAGTTGCCTTATAGCGACTTTGATTTAATTAAATATTATACGGCGTCTTATTACAAAATAAGAGCAATTGAATTAGAGTTGAGGTAATAAAATGCGCAGTGGGATAGGACACGACAATCCACTTAGTTGGATGCTGCCTGTGACAACTCAGCTTGAGTTAAGATTCTATCTGTACTCCGCTATACTCAACTTTGTTGCATTTAAAATAACAGCAGCCGTTGATTAAGTGTGAATTACAATGTGACGTGATACGTACCGGTCCTAAGATTGGCGACATAAGTGTATTGATTTTTCATTGATACCATCTTAAAATTGTTATTTTAGAGAGATCCATCTTATACTTTGTTTAAAAGAGACTGAGAGAGACTATAAGAGAATAAATTAGTTTTTTTTAGCATAGCGTTGCGATTAT